GGCGCATCGTCCACGCCTTGAACAAGCTGAACGATGCTACGATCTCTCCACTTAACCCGATTCCGCGGAAAGACATGGTTTGGACACCATGTCGGGCAGCACGATCTCCTCTACTCTAAATTTAACGGACGGATTCTATCAAATCCTCATGCGTCCAATGGACATTCCTTAACAGAGGTTAGTACACCCAGCGGAATGCTCTGGGAATAACTCTTGATGCCGCACCTGCTATCTTCAATCGTATGGTATAGCACGTTCTGCGGCCTTTTTGAGACTTCGCGCCTAGCTATTTCGACGATATCTTCGTACACAGCCTCGCCGCTGAAGGCACGACGGACCTTGACGTTCATTGGGTCACCTCCGTAAGGTGTTCGAAGATATTCGTGCATATAAACTGTACGCGAACCTGAAGAAGTGTATCTTCTGCGCTCCAGAGATCCCTGTGCTAGGTTCCTACATCAGCGCGAAAGGTGTTCGCGCTGACCCCGAGATGGTCGTGTCGATTTGCGCCTGGCCGGAGCCAACGAGCCCGAAGGAATTGCGTCAATGGCTTAGTATTGCTAATTTTCGGCATCATTACGCGAAAGACTTCGCTGTAGTTATTCACCAGCTGTCCCAGTTGATGAAGAAGAACACCACGTGGGCGTGGCGTCAGGAGCATCAAAGCGCTTTTGACGCGATCAAGCGAAACTGTCATCAGCTTCAGTTCTCGCCTTGGCAGATCATTACAAGCCTTTTTATGTTGTTAGTGCTTTGATGCAACATGATGATGAAGGCCACAAACGTGTCATGAGTTACCAGTCTCGGCAGTTGAAACCTGCCGAGCGTAATTACCCTGGTCATGACAAAGAGTTGCTAGCGATGCGTTATGCTCTCGTAAAGTTTCGCGTATATCTTGCTTGGTGAAGAAACGTTCGCACCTTCTCACAAATCACGGATCGTTGTGGACAGCCACAAAAAGTCCGCACCTCAGCCAGCGCATGGCGCGCTGGCTATCGTTATTCTCCGAATACAACTTTGTCATCTACTACAAGCCTGGTTCGACAAACATTATCGCCGACGCGTTGTCGCGTCGTCCCAACTACAAACCTTGCGGTGACGGTCCAGCTTGCTCCTCCATCGAGTACGAAGACAAGGAATGTGCAGCATGCGTGGCTCTTTTAGTAAACACGACCGCTGTGAGCGCGGTCAATTCGCTCCGTGCTGACATCGCGACGGCGTATTATTGCGATAAGCTCCTTTTGCCATTCTTGAAGTACTTTTAAGACCCATCGGATGAGGCGCTGCGCAAACTGATAGCGCCGACACGCGCCCAGGATTCTCGTTACGCAATTGTTGGCGACCTGCTAATGTACCAGGTCGATCGATTTGATCCTCCTCGCATCGTCTTTCCACTCGATGTTGATCTGCGTGCTCTCATACTCCACGAGTATCATGACAGCGCAACGAGCGGTCATGTAGGACGGGATAAGAGTTACCTCGCGCTGTCACGTGATTTTTACTGGCCCCATATGTATAAGTGGGTTCGCAAGTGGGTTCGTTCCTGCGAGACATGCCAACGCGTGAAACCAGCTCCGTCCTCTCAAGCTCCGCTGAATCCACTACCCATCGCCACCAAGGCGTGGCAATCTGTTAGCATGGACTTTTTATTGGCCTTCCAGAAGACGCGCAGGGGAGCACTGGTATCTTCGTCGTCGTCGACTCGTTCAGCAAGATGGTGCATCTGGTTCCGGTTGCCGCATCAATAACTGCGGCAGATACGACGACACTCTTCTTGGACATGCTCTTCAGACACCATGGAGTGCCCACTACAATCGTTTCGGATCGTGATCCTTGGTTCACAGCCGCCTTTTAATCGAGGCTGTTCGAGTTACTGAGTACCAGGTTGTTAATGTCGACTGCGGCGCACCTCGAAACCGACGGCCAGACTGAACACGTGAGCCGCGTATTGGAAGACGTGCTGCGCAGTTACGCCACGTCATACGAGTCATGGAGTGCTTTACTCTCATGATCGAGTTTGCATTAGATAACGCCGTTCACCCTTCAACTGGATTGACCCCCTTTTTCGTCAATAGCGCGCGTCATCCACGCGTGCCTGTCCTTTTCGGTTTGAAGGATGATTCTACTCTTGTTGGGGGGAGAGACCCCAGGAATTCTGGAGTTGACGAAGTCCGCAGCATCGAGCGCTGCGGAAACACGCGATGACGCCCCGCATGCCTCAGCGTCGCTTAATGTGACAATGACTCGCGCTGCTTGCCAGCGTAAGCTGACTACGTTGTCCATACATTACGCTACGGAATGGGCTAGCGAAGCTTTGATTACTCCTACGCCTCGTGCGTTCCATTACCTTCGTCGTCCAACATTCCGTCGATCGATCCCTCGAGTCGTAGTGCTTCGCCGCCGAGTGCTCGTCTCGCTGACTCAACGGATATCGATGGATTTGTGGAACAACGACAGTCAGTTGCACAATTTGTTTGTGATGCGCTCGCGAGCGCGGTTGAAAAACAGAAGGCGTCCACGGATCATTGCGGACGCAAGAATTAAGAGCAGTTAGTTCTCCGTCGGTGACTCCTTGTTGTTATCCACGATAGAGAGTCAAGATTTATTTGTGACAAACCTCGCTGCAAACAAACTTTCACCGCGCTATATTGGATTTTCAAGGTCTCCAAGGTTATGGAAAATGCCTACACACTTGATATTCCAGCAGCAATGCGACTTCACCCGACGTTTTACGTCGGGTGACTCAAACGCTATTGGCCGGCCCTCCTCCCAACTGATCAGGAGGTCTCAACGCGGGATCATAACATGGCCCGCGGTACTTCGGCTTCCTTGGAGGATCCGGTTGAAGGTCCCCTCGCAACACCGCGTTGTCCTTCCGAAGAGCCGCATTTGACTGTTCCACCCGTTCCTAGCGAGCCACCAATCCGGCAACAGTCGAAGACACCTGCTTCACTCGCGAGTCAGCCAGATCAGCCAGTTCCCTCGCCTGCTCCGCGTCATATCCAACAAACCCAACGCGGTGCTGATACTCGCGAAGCTCCTTCGCAAAAACTCGGTCATATCAGACCCCGCCAGACTCGCAGGCACCTTATGCATGCTTCCACTGCGATGATCCTCCCACGCTAATTCATAGCGCCGGGAATTCGCGCTGAATTGTCGATAAAATTCTCGAGCATCACAAAGTGTCTACAAAGTTGGATATTCCAACATCTAACATATTGACCGACTCGCTCGCCAAAAGCGCTTTTGCTTCCTAGCAGAGGTGAGTTCATGACTCTCCAGAGCCCCACCAGGAGCATTACTCGTTGCGCCTAAGGTCTTCGACCGCCAATCAACTCATGGCTCATGACGTTCTAGCCATGCTATGCCTAGGATGAGGTCATACCTCGCATCCAGGTCTATGACGAAACAGCGTTCCATGCTGTTAAAAAGTCCAAGCACTTTACATTTAAATCCATCGGGACTTTGGGTACCGTACCACGCGTACCCGTCGCTAAGCGAACTGTGAATGTGTCACTCTCACGCGCTACAAGCGCTTCAACATGCTGTTAACTACCTACCACGGTAGCACGGCGCACTACGATGCCCCCGAATCGATCAAAATGATCCATGGCTTATCATATCCCTTTATCGTCTCATTCGACGACTAGCAAACCTGGCTTGCACTCTCGTTCCATTTTTGAGAGTTCGTATCACTTTGGAGCTGAGTCCTGTTTACTTCTACCTCCTAGAGGCTCAACAGAACTCAGTTCTTCCTCATTAGGGCGCCGCGCGCCTACTGGGTTCCGCCGTTTCCCTGCCGCAACCAGAAGGTTTACCCATGGGGCGTCGGCCCTTCGAGGCCAAATATGTGGCTCTTGCAGGGCATTTTGCCATCAAATGGCCTGTGCTCTTGCAGATACAACATCTGCGCACAATTTGCTGCTCCGCAGCTTGAAGCTCAGCTTCTTCACTCTCCACTTGACTACAGTCCATGGGTACAGACCCATCAGACGAGTAGTTATAAGTGGCAGGCCTAGCGGCCTTAAAGTTGGTCTCGGCATTCCATGCCACTCCAACAGCTTCCTCGAATGAAGACGGGTTTACCCGGAAGACTTCCGTTCTGGCAACGCCAACTCGGAGGCTCTCCATGAAGACCGTGACGGTCACTGCCTCAGGCATAGGGTCTATGACCATGGCAGCAATGAGAGTTAAACTCTTGTACATATGCCGCAAGCTCACGCTTGCCTTGGCGACACGCCAAAAAACCGCGACCAATTACGGTGTGCTTGGTTTGGCGGAGCATACTGCCGTTTCGTCTGAACTTTCAGGCCGGCCCATGCTGGAAATGCATCATGCAGTGATGCACCACATGGGAATGCCCACTGTTTGGCTAAGCCACCTAACTTGCCCGTGGCAAAGCCCACACGGTACGGTTCATAGGTGATGTCGGCTATAAACATAGCCGACTCGACCTGTTGGAACCAAAGCATAAGGTTGTCACCTTCTTTGCCGGACTACTGTAGCAAAGCTACGTATGCACTATGTGCAGAGGAAGAAAAGCTCAGAGAGCTTCTACGTCTTAGGGTGTTTAACCCTCCTAGGCTAGCTCGTAAGCTTGTGCCTATTAATTGCTATAACCGTGTCTCAAAGAGACTAGTATCAAAGATACTAATTCCTCAGGAGGAATAGTACGCTCAAGCAGTGATGCTTATAGAGCAGGTTTAAAACCGATTTATATTTATGTTTATCTTCTAACACTAAATATAGAAGCACCTACTTTATACTTAGTGCTAGTCACTATTACAGGCTCTTTAGCCTGTTATTATTCTGCAAACATGCATAGTCACGATGCGACCCTTCGTGCTTTAGGTACGGTCACATCAAGGTACTTTTGTACCCAAGGTACAGCCACACCACATTGGTGTGGCAGGTGTATGTACACCTTCGTGTAACCCAGTTACAGCTTGACTTGTTTTAAGGACCTCCCCTTTGGACCCCTAAATACAATCGTGGACTGAATGCATCGTTTACGTGCTCTGTGATCCTTGATAATGTCAAGATTCCACGTGACAACATATTAGGTGATGTTGGTCAGGCTACGCAATTGCCACTGGAAAACTGAGCGAAGGCCGCATCGGCATCGCTGCTCAGCAGTTAGGAATCACGGAAAGTGTTTACCATCACGCAACGCCATATCTTTTTCAGTGGCAACAGTTAGCTGCTATTGGTGACTTTCAGCGATGCCAGCATGCGAAAATAGCGGTGGAGCTTGCAAGTGCTCGTCTACTTGTCTACAACGCCGCTCAACTCAAAGATGTCGGTCATGATGTTGCTCAAGCGTCCTGTATGGCGAGGCTGCACGCGTCTCGGGTAGCAGAGCGGACCTCTTCGCGGTACATTGAGCTGTTAGGTGGCGTGGGAGTCCCCAAACAGCTCATGACCGCGAGAAGTTTTACCGAGACTGCAAGGTCGGCACCATCTATGGCAGCAAGAGCAACGTTGAACCGAGCCTATCGCACGATTAATAAAGCAGGAGCTCGTCTAGATTTGACTGACCTATACTAGCCAGACAAAGCGGTCCAATGGTAGTTGTAAGCTTTCTTCTTTATATGCTTTGTGCTTGTCTTCTCATCTTGACCACTTGCCATACAGATCAATTTGAAAGGAGAAAGTAGTTAGCATCATACTGCATACATGCCCATGCAGCTACTATTCAGACAAAAAATATTGCTAGATACAAGCATACAGACGGTATTGATAACCGAAGGTAAAGGTTTTGTTGGGAACCATCTTAACATAATTACAATGTAAAAAGAATTAGTATACTGGAAAGGGTTTTTCTGAAAGACTTTATACGAACGTATATAATGTGTACGAAGTACTTTCACGTATCAATTGTAGACACGCAAGTCTTATGCAGGTTATTATGAATCTGGTGCGACGTTGATCTTAACAATAAACGGCATGATTGTTCCGTAGGGTAGTAAAGTTTAGAATGAATCAGCACTTGAGAGACCGATATACGACGTTTGGAGTCAACTAGAAGCATCTTTTGCTTGACAACCGTCAAAATGCGTCGAGCGTCCGTGGAAAGTCTAAAGTCTGTAATTGTGCATACTCCACGACTCATGACGAGACAAATTTCGATATGCAACGCCTAGAAGTATGCGTAAATAATGGATACCTGCTAAAACTTGTTGCAGTAGTGGCAATACTTCATGTTCTCCAAAAGGTCTACTGCATTAAGACGTTTTTGCTTCAAGCGAGTGCAAATCTCCACCTTTGCCAAGTTCATTCACAGGATACAATGTTTCATCGTGAACAAAGTGATTATAAGGCTGTACTACATACCAGTGTCCTCCATTAGCTACAAGAAGGGCTGCCACTTGTCGCTCTTGTACAGGATCATCAATCTCTCGAGGAGTACGCATTCGATTTCGACGTTCATGTGCTCGTATAAGTGAAAGGCACTACACTGCAACTTGCTCATCATGTCCAGGCAAATCAAAGTCAAGGACTTCTCCATATAATGCAACGCTTTATTGACGACGAATTCGAAAAAGTAGAGGAGCCACCATTGAGAGACCAGGAGGGAGTCAGTATGCTGGCGATGCATTTCACGCAGTGCCATTCTAGCCCTCCCATACCCTGAGAGTAACGGTTGCCCAAACTCATTAGCTATCCTTTTACTTGTTGGGTTACACAAAGGTGTGGTTTTACATACACACCTGCCACTCCATTGTGGTATTACCCACCAAATAATTTGAAAGCAAAAGCACTAGCATCCGGTTAACATTTATCTGATCTGGACACGTAATTATTAACTTGAAATTGAAGCAACTATCTTGTTAACAGTATAAATCTCAGGATATTGCTGAATGGCGTAATTATGAGCACTTTACCTCTTACTTATATCGATAAAAGAGTAACTAAAAAGAAGTCAAAAGCTGCTTGCCTCTTTTGTTTGCTTGATTTCCAATAAGTTGCATGCTTGAGGATAAACTCCTTGCGTTTTGCAATACTGCACTCACACCACGTTTGTTCATTAGTCTTTGTCTTGTGCTTGTGCATAGGCAGCAACACGCTCGTGTTTGCTTTTCATTTTTGCCACGGTTTGGATTTTCGCCTTGGTTTATTTTGTCTTTATCTTGTGCTTAGGCATGGGCAGCAACACGCTCGTTTGTGCTTTGTACTCTTGCCACGCTGTGGTCTTTCCCCAGCGATCTTCTGCCTGACTTTCCAGTAGCGGGACACCCGAAACGAATAGGAGTAGGAATGCCACAAACATAGGGCTTACGGCAGCCCAACATTGTAGTGACGTGGTCGGCAGAGTATGCACACTCACACAAAACACACCAATCCAGATCATAATCTCCCCACAGTAGTTCGGATGGCGGCTATAGTACCAAAGACCACCTTGAATGAATTGCCCCATATTGCTTTTGTTGCGACGGAACTGCATCTTCTGGTAATCAGCCGTGACTTCCAAAACATAACCCACGATCCAAAGAAAGACGCCAAAGGCGTCCAACAACGACACCTGTGAGTTAGACGTACCATGACTGAGTGTCAATAACACGGGTAGCAATGTAAGCAGCACCCAAAGGCCTTGGATGTTCCATACTCCCAGGAACTGTAGTGGGTTTTCTCGAATCTCTTTAAAGCGCTTGTCCTCTCTGCACTCGCGTATGCGCAGGAACAAAAACGATCCAAGACGAATGCACCAAAGCCATACAAACACTGTGAGAAGGGAAGCTCGCCAAGACACAGGGCTATTCACCCTATAAGCCAGGAGGGACACCGCAGCGTACGTGATAGAGCCCGTTAGGTCAAAGTAGTGTTCATCCTGCTTAGGGATAGCATAGAGTGCCGAGATCCACTGAATGCCCATACATACTACTGCGTAGAGTTGTAGATTGGTATAATACGCCACTACGACAGCTAGCGAGAGGGTGGATACCGTCCCTGCAATGTCGCGTAGGAATGTCATCATACAGATACAATTTGAATGTCGCAGAAAGAACTGAGCTAAATTCTTCAGAACCATTATTTAGCATACTTTTGTACTATTGTAAATAAAAAAGCTTCAAATATTTGCGACTCAAGCAATAAGAAATCTGACTACGCTTAATCATCACCGTCCGAGTTTTTTGATGTGCAAAACACTGATAGCGCGTGTATAGCCACCAAAGTGACGGTGATCTCAAAATATGTTGTCCGGTGACGAATGTAGCTCGGGACTGGCTGGACCACTCGGTAGCTTGCTGCAGAGGGGCAAGTTCCGTCCTTAACTTCCGTCTCAATGACCTCGTTGACGACTTAATGTGTGACAATCTATCTCTAATTTCCAGCCGTCTATTCTGTGTGTACTAAACAGCATCGACAGTAATGGAACTTGTATTGCAGGAGACCGAGATAAACAAGGGTTTGCACAAAGCGCTTGCGCTACCGTAATCGCAAATGGACAGGTACACAAAAAACACATCATAGTTACGTTTAATATCGCAGGCAGAGCACCACACCACACCACGAGGCGCTGAGATAAAACTTGAGCGTAATGATGTTCACTGAGGTAGTAGGTCGTGTCGTTTAGGGATACCGTCAATGAATACCCACGCACATCCTGCATCGCTTGAAAGTCCGTGTCTTAGCCTGTGACTGTCACATGTGCTACATTATATATCGAGTCCTAAAGTCTATAGTCTAGAATCATGAAAGATCTTATATCTTCATAACAAACTGGTGATCATGTGTGCAGGGAATAAGTTAGTGACTCCATGTCGCAGTGAAGATACTTTAAAGGATATAGTACTATTACTACTGTACTTTCATGAAGTTGACAATATTCATATCACAATACTTTTTGATCCCCATAATTAGTTTAATACTATAAAAAATAGTAATACGTCCAAAATGACTGATGATTCAGTCCTGCTCGAATCGGCTGCTTCCGTGTCTGTGAGTTTTGACGCCTTTACGTGGGTAGAAGAGGCTTTATCCTCTCGTTCTGGGGATGCATCAGCTCTTTCTTCTTTAGTACCACAACTTGCTTTCCGTTCTCAGACGCTGGCTCAGACGTTACACACAGCATTGCAACACATTTCGCTCTCGAATCCTACACTGCAGACGCGTCTGCAGGAGCTACAGCAGGTCACCACACCGCTTGGTAAATGCCTCGACGATATACATGATGATGCCTGTATCTCTGGATCGATCTCGACCACGTCTTCTACCACTTCTGGCCAAGATTTGCACCAGCTAGTGATGCTGCACGAGACCAAGTGCAGACTCCAAAGCTGTTCGCAAGCACTTGTTGAGGCTACAAAATGGGAGCACAATGTCCGAGCGTGTTTTTCTATAGTAGAAGACCCGTTGCTATTGTCATACGCTATGGAGAGTGATACTTTGAAACTCACGAACAGCGATGCTGCTAATTTGGCGGACCGAGTACGAGAAATGCAGACAAGTCTGAACATTTTAAAGGACCTACCAGGTGCTTGTGAACGCAAGCAAACAATGCAGAGACTATGTGAGCAGATAGAGGCGGCAGTATTGCCGAGACTTGCTTTGAAGTTACGGGAGGATGATCTGGGAGATGTCACGCCGTTACGCTGGTGTCTTGATGTGCTTCATAGTGTTGACAGAGCTCAAGTTATGAGAGAAGAATTTTGCCGGGCAAGACTTGCAAAAGTGCATCGTATATGGTATGCATACGGTGACGAAATACTGACTGAATTAGACGATACGGACGACAGAAGAAAAAACGTCTTTTCAAATTGGCTCGACATGTTTTACAGAGACGTACTGCGGATGCTGCAACGCGAAAGTTGCAACGCTCGGGAAGTTTTTGGCGCCGATATGTTGATTGGTATTGTGTTTGAGCTTTTAGTTAACACATTGGAACCCCTCACCAAGTCATTCCGAGACCGTCTTGTGCATAGTGGTCCTTCAGGCTCGGACTTTTGTCTTGGCCGGCTATTGCGCTGCTTCCGCATGACGCGAGGATTCGCTGTCCAGTTAGTGCAGCTTTTTAGGTCACTAGAAAGTGAACTTGATGTAACTTTAGCTGAAAGCGACGACAGATCTGCAAGCGTCAAAGGCATTCTACGCGTGGTTTTCGAGCCGTACCGACTATATTTCACAGAATATGCGCACTTCACTAGCAACGCCCTTACTGATGCGCTACTATGTCTCGTACCTTTATCCAACGTGACAAATAATGGAGTGCTAGATAGCAAGGGATACGTACACGACGAGAGGGATGCAGCAGCCATTGCACCGCTCGAGGATTTCTCCCAACAACTTGAGGAGGCATCTGAAGAAGTTAGTATGCTTCTGGACGAGAGTCTACAGCAATGTTATGAATTTACAAGTGGGGTTGCTTTTCCGGAAGCCGTAGAAGCCATCGGCGCGGCAGTGCAGCAGTTTACGTTGTCGTTAAGCGTGACGATGACAGGAATCCAAAAGTGCTGCAAAGCTAAATCTAGTTTGAGAGGACAAGCACCAGGATCATTGGTTGCTTTGCCCGATTGGAGTCATTTCCATGCGTCTTTAGCCCTTTTGAAGGCATGCGGTACCCTTGAAAGCAGAATTTGTGCAATTGACGGTCGTCTGCGCGTTCGCATGCGTGAGCAACTTGCCCAGTTCTTTGGCGAGACGTCAGGGCCTTTATCGCCGCGCAGTCGTTTCAAGAAAATACAGGATGAACAAAGTATTGCGCTAGCTGACCTTGTGGACGCAACAAAACTTGTAGCATCTGTGTCAAAAACATGGCTTCACGACGAGGGCCCAACTCGACAATCCCAATTTCATCAGTTTGAGATGGAGTTGCTTGATCCTTCAGCGGAATCTTCAGGGCTTGATACTGATGTATCTCGCTACCCAACTGCAAAGGTACGTGTTCTCAATTGTACCCTCAATCCTAACGGTGACTTATTGAGCATTTTTTGTTGACCGACACAGATGCTCGATGAAGCTCAGCGTGCTGTGCGTTCTTGGACAAGGGAGGTGCAGCTTCTTACGCACAACACCATATTTCTACCCATCGCTCGAATACTCGACACATTACCCCTCAATGAGGTACGCCACTGCCTGAAAAGATATAGTAACCAACAATTTTGATCTACAAAACTAACGGTGCTTCATTTGCTTGTAGAATTGGTGCAAGGTGCCAGATGCGGCTTTAGGAGACCTACCGGCCTTCAGCATGCTCCCACAAGACTACATTACAATGGTGGCTGACCTCTTGCTGTCACTTCTCCCACAACTTCAGCCCTTCGCGGAAAGCAGCAGTCTCGGGAGCGCCGCTGTGGCCTCACGTGGAGCACACACAACGTGCGTTCAGGGTGAGTGGACTCGTCTAGGTCAAATGCTGGAATTGGCACCCCCTGAAGTCTTGGCGTGTCAGCAAATTTTTGGTTCGGATGTCTCGGAATTTGTTCCGACAGCGACAGAATTCGTGGACCTGTGGACGGCGGCAGTGGCCAGCAGCACGCTAGCTGCATTCTTGCGTACGATGTGCTCCATCTCGATGTTGTCGGAGCTGGGTTCGCAGCAGTTAGCTGCTGATCTCGGTTACTTTCACAACGTGTTGAGCGCCGTGGGCGGTGAGGACAATTTCATAGTAAATGGCCTTCGTTGTGCATTAGAGATGGACCTGCAAACTCATATTAAGCACGCCAAAGAGCTACGGGCTGACCATGATAGTCCTGAAAAGCAAGTGCTGGCCAAATTGAACGACCGCGTCGTTGCTATGCGTCAGCGCGCGCTACAACAATCGCATCTACCGTCTCTAGCGACTGCTGGCTCCACGTCCGCTTCCTCCCAACTGTTCTAGTGATGTCTGTCTAGTTGAGATGAGGAGAATATAGCCTGCACCTTATGGATTCCTCTTTTTGCTGCCCTTTCCATCTCGACAGGTTATGTCCAGTTGTAATTGTGGCTGCTTGGAATCGTGAACAAACGCAATGGCGTCAATCTACTTTTATTACAATGAGTTGCTTCGTCATTGTGCAGATGAAACAGTCACGAACGATACATATTCACCTGGCGGCGACTTCCGACAGCAGCAGCAACATGGGGATATGTCTTTTGAAAAGAAGCACCAAGAACTCACCATTCATCATCTTGGACAACTACAGTCTATCGCGGTCAAGAGCCAAGACGAAGACAAAGCTTTGAAGGCGCAATGTATGTATTATCCCAGCACCGAAGCCACGTTTGTCACGCTTCAGCCACGTATGAACCGACTAGCGTACCTCCAAACAGCAGTAGCAACCAACTTGGACGCTTTGATACGATCCCTTGGACCCAAACTATAGCAACGGCTAGTGATCTCTAAATGTCGAAGATACATGCGTGCGTCTATAAGCTTCATCAACTGAGCTTTATTGCTCAACGTCTTCATATGAAGGAGTTCGTTCTTGTACATTCCATTCTGTTTCAAATTTGACTATCGTTGCCCGTCTTTTCCAAAACGCTTTCTGACCTGTCGTTGCTAGAGCCGCTACTCAGTGACTTGGACAAGAAGCGACGTTGACGCAGCAGTACCTGCATCAATTTGTCAAGTGATTTCTCGCGAGTTATATGTTTGCCATGACCACCCGTATTGATACCAATGCTTGACCTGCTTCCAAGGACGGCGTCCCGGCAAGTGCTGATCTCGGGGTCAGCTACGACGTCTTCGTCGTCACTGTTGGTGGTCATGTTCGGTCCTTCCATCTCAAGGCTAGCGAGACGCATGTAACAATCAGTACTAGGGCGCTCCTGCTGTGCTTCATCATCTAATAGAAGCTGAGTGTCATGCGTAGATACTAGTGACGAAAGAGCTTCTTCTTCTTCTTTGACTTCCATCTCAAGAGTGTCACGCTTCAAAACAGCAACACGGCCACGTACAATGCTTCGGGGTTTATCTCGCCTTTTCAGCGTGCTGGTTTTACTTGTCGGTGCAATTGCCACCTCATTCTCGACATCCAAAACAGTAGAGACCGAGATAGTCGACCCTGATGGTCGATGCGTAACAGCTGCAACTTCTTCAGCATACCGCGTTTTGAACACGTCGTGCTGTGCTAACATCTTGGCACTCCAGCTGACAGCAGGAGCTACCGCTCCATTGAGCCACGGATGAGCAACAACGTCATTCATATTCATTGCAGTATCCGAATTCTTGGCCAGCAATCGATGTAGCAGATCCTTCGCTGCGCGACTCAGTAGAGCCCCGTTCACCGGAAACGTCAGTTTGTCCTGAATTATTCGTCGCTCAATGTCAGCAACACTGTTGTCTTGTTCGTCTACGCTGCTAAAAGGAAGAGAGCCACACAGCATAACATAAAGAGTGACGCCAAGTGCCCAAATGTCGACCTGCTGAGCTTCTCTCCAGTTGACCACGAGACTTTTACCTTCATATTCCTTGTCGATCAGATCTTTCTGACAATATCTGTTCTTCCGTCTCAGTAGAAACGGTGGCAGGAACCGAATGTGGTGCACGTCGTTCCAAAGGAAGCCTCTTGTCTTAGGATGGCAGCGCAGCGTCAGGAGCCTCCATGGAGCTGCTCGTCCAAAAGCCGTGAGTAATACGCGCGCATCTGGCTCATTGTCACTAAAGAGCAAATGCTCTGGCCTTACTTCTCCATGGACAATACCTCTTTCGTGTAGAAACTGAAGTCCATAAGCCACTTGCTGCAGCACGCGACTTGCATCTCGCTCCGAGTATAATTTCTTGAGCACTTCGCCTCCTCTCGGGAGCTCAAAAACGACTTCCAATGTTGCCCCAACTGCCTTCACTTCATATAGTTGTAGTAAGTTTTGATGATCTCTGGCCACCTGAAGCACGTGAATTTCTTGACGGAGTCGCCGACGTATGGCGCGCTGGCGCAGCAGATGGCGGTCGAGCACTCTAAGAGCCACGAGCTCTTGTGTGATGCGATGGCGAGCTGTGTAGAGCCCAGGAAGACACGATATTGTCGGAGAAGAAGACAATGCAAGTGTACAAGTAGTTGAGACAGGACGTCGATCTACATAATTGGTCCTAGGAGCTACGTTTGACATGCGACACGAAGAGCCAGCACACCATGTAAACCACCACATTGAACAAATCGTAATCACTTGATTGTTCTATACTTGATCCAGTGATGTTATGATGCTATAACTTGTTGAAGTTGAAATCGATTATTCTTGCTGACTCGAATTAAAAGTAATCAATATGGGTTCAAACTGTTGACGTAACGCTTGCGTCGTATAGAAAAGTCAAACTGGCTTTGATTATTGGAGTTGTTTCAGTAATCGTGTTCTACGGGTAGGAGAAGAAATGCAACTTATAAGCTTATGATGGAAGAAGAAGAAGAAGAAAGTGATTGTAGTGTCAAGTTCTAGAGTATACAAGGGCGTTTTATGGCCGTAAGACTGGGACGGCGTCCGCTACTTCAACAATTTCATCGACTATATGTCTGAACTTGCACGGCTCATGCAGCACTTTTCCTCGAACAACACCATATCCGCAAAGCCTAGTCTCTTTTTTTTCCGAGTGTCCGTTGCGACTGCTGCAAACGAGAGCTGCAGGGCACTGCTGGTTATCCGTCATGCGTATCTGTAAGCTTGGTGGTCGGAACCTTGGTGCAGACATCGTTTCAACTTGAGATCGCTAACTGGACAGTTGAATAAAGCCAATGACTAATACATCTTAGAGATGGATACCCTCTATTATTAACACAAAAGGCAGCCATTCGTTCAGTAATTGTTATTCATAATGGACAGCGAGCGCTATTGCAGGATTATATCATCATATATGAATAGTATTGAATTGCAGTGTGTTTAGTATCGAATTGCAATGTTTCTACTCTACTTACTTACACAAATCGAAAAAGACAGTCAACTTATATGAAAACTATAGCAACTTAGTAAAGTACGTTTACAGCACTAATAAAATACTTGTCGAATGTTACTTCACCCACTGACAATATTTTTATAAAGCAGTTACTTCACCACTTCACTCCTCATGGCAACTCACTATGGACGACACTTGGAGCGACTCCAACGTGGTGAATACCTTGAAAGCAATATACTACTTGCACTATGTGAGCGAGTAAAAGATCTTCTTGTTGAAGATGATAATGTCGTTCATGTGTCATCCCCTATTGCTGTCTGTGGAGATATTCATGGGCAATATCATGATCTTCTTGAGCTATTTAAATTAACAGGACAGGCACCTGATACAAGTTACGTCTTTTTAGGTGATTTTGTCGATCGTGGAGCAATGAGCGTTGAAACAATATCGATATTATGTGTACTAAAGGCCATTTATCCGGACCGTGTGACCTTATTACGTGGTAATCATGAATCACGACAGACAACACAAGTCTATGGATTTCAAATTGAATGCATGAAGAAATACGATGGCGATGCGCGTATTTATAAAGCATTTATGGATTTGTTTGACTTTTTACCCTTGGGAGCACTTATTGACAATCGTTTACTATGTCTACATGGAGGCTTAAGTCCAGCATTACATCATTTGGATCAATTACGGATGCTTGATCGGTTTCAAGAGATTCCACCAGACGGAATTTTTGCTGATATTGTATGGTCGGATCCAGACCCCAAGACATTGGGATTTCATATGGTGAGGGAAGAAGAAACGAGATGAAGATGAGATCAATACTAGAGTAGGAGCGAGAGAGGAGATGTCTGGTGGTTTCTGTTGATTTAACTAAGGCTCTTGCTGTTGTTTTCAGTCACCGCGAGGAGCTGGATATATCTTTGGAGAAGATGTCGTGGAGAAGTTTTTACGCACAAACAAGCTAGCGCATATAGCGAGAGCGCATCAATTGTGTATGGAAGGATATCAAGTCCTGTTTCGAGAAACCTTTTCAACGGTTTGGAGTGCACCAAATTACTGCCACCGCTTTGGAAATCTCGCAGCTATTATGGCAGTTGACGATCACCTTGAGGTATCTACACTGAATGCATTCTCCGTAATTTGTAACTTCTCATCTAACTGAAGTCAATTTGTTGTAGCGCACTTACAAAACGTTCAAGGAAGCCCCATCGTCTAGAACTATTGGCGTGTTGGACAGCAAGGGTACAAGCTCTGACGCTATTGACGCCGGCTACTTTACGTAAGAGGAATGACAAAAAAAGGTTTTTAAAGACCGATACATTTGTACGGTACACTCACGAAGTTTGAGGAATGCATGCAGTAATGCCTTCGTCTAGTGGCGACGTCGCCTCTTTTCCTTGCGGTTCTTAGCACGACGCTTGTGGTCCTTCTTTGCCTTCTCATAAGCTGCTGCAATCTGCTCCATCGTTTTCAGGTGCAGTGGCTTCATCTTTGCCTTGACACACTTGTCAATTTCTAGCGCGTCAAACACCACTAGCGACTCAGGATGATTATACAATTGCGCGTTGCCCACCATGAGTTTAAAGTCCTCTTCAAACTGTTCATGCGACGCATAGTAATACCTATCTAGCCGTGCCTTTATAGTGGCCAAGTCCATGGGCTGCTTTACAATCGTGTAGTAGTCGGGATAGTCTAGTGCAGAGGGCTTCTTCGATGTACAAGTCGGAGCGCAGGCGTCCAGTAGGGTCCTTAAGTTTGACGACAGCATCGTAAACCTTCCGGTAGTAATAGCAAAGCATCTTGCGCTCACGTCTCGACGCCTCGTCCTCATTCGTTGTGTCTTCCTCTTCGCCGCCAATGTCAATGGCATTTTTGTCCTCGCCACGCTTCCGTTTGCCATGCGTGGTTTCCAGAAAACTCTTCAACGATGACTTCGTCGTCTCGTCAATTCCATCCTCACACAACCTTACAAACTCCGCATCTGTAAATTGATCGCGATACGACATTTCCTTGCGTTTACGAGGTTTGCCCTCCATTTCAAACTTCCAAGCACCTTTGTCATGCTTTCCCGTTGCAATATCATGCTCCATAATTGCGTTGGCTTCGCGCAGCCAAACCGGGGCGTCCTTCTCGGACATAAGCCGAGTACGCTGATTGGGCGAGATATTGTACTGCTTGCAATACTCTTCCCATTCCTTTGCTTCGCGAGTTTTGCGCTCATCATCCACTCGCTGATACAAAGCCAGTTCTTCGTCCGTCAGCGCCATCATCTCATTGATTTCGTCATCCAGTAGAACATTCGACGATTCATCATCAACGTGAGCGGTGTGCGTTACTTCCTCTTGCTCCATTTTAATAAGGCTCTCAAGCATCGCACGCCGCTCTGCCTCCTTTGAGCGATTGTTAAATTTGCCGGCTTCTACCACAAGATTGTTCATATTCATTTTGTCCGTCGCACGCGAAAGAATTTTCTCCTCCACGGGGCTATTTGTGACAAGTCGAAAGACTCGCACTTCGTTCTTTTGGCCGATTCGGTGAGCGCGATCCTGAGCCTGTGCATCCATGGCGGGATTCCAATCGCTATCAAAAATGATGACCGTGTCTGCTGTCGCAAGATTCAGTCCAAGGCCACCGGCGCGTGTACTTAAAAGGAAGATAAAGAAAGGCGAGTCCGGCGCGTTAAACATAAACATGCGTTGTTCACGTTCATCAGCACTCGTCGAACCATCCAAACGAAGGTAGCGGAAGCCACGGTAGTTAAAGTAGTCCTCCAAAACGTGCATCAACTGCGTCATCTGACTGAACATCAGCACGCGATGGCCTGCAGCTTTTAGCTTCGGCAGCATGCGGTCCAACAGCTCAAATTTGCCTGATGAACGCACGATGTCAAAATCGATCTGGTACCCGTTCGTCTGGAAAAGGTACGGGTGGTTGCACACCTTGCGCAGCTGCATGAGCACGTTAGACAAACCCTTGGACGTGTACTTTGCCTTTCCCTTCTTTTTGCCTGTACCATCCATTGTTTCCATGAGAAGTGCACCTCCTTCTTGGATACGCCTATACATAATTTTCTGCCAGCCTGAGAGTTCGCATTTAAGCACTTTCTCCACTTTGTCAGGAAGTTGATCAAGAACGGAGGCCTTCACACGCCGCAACAAGAACGGACGTAGCACTTGATGCAGCCGATTGATAATAAGCATACGTTCTTCGTCGGATAGCTCGTTTGATTCACCATTACCAGAAAACTGCGCAAATGGCTTACTAAACCATTGCTCAAACGTATCCACGGACTCAAAAATCGTCGGCAAAAGAAAATTCAAGAGTGCCCAAAGTTCCGGCAGACTATTTTGTAGGGGCGTGCCTGTCAACAACAACCGGTTACGCGAAGTGTACATACTACCGAGTGTCATAGCAAATTTGCTTTGAGCATTTTTCATACGATGACCCTCATCCACGATAATGTACTGCCAGTCATACTTGCGCAGCACATGTTTGTCCTTCATAATGTACTCGTAGGTTGTCAGAAGTACATTAAACTGACACGATGCCATTTCTTGTTTGTGAAGTTCCTTGCGAACCTGAGGAGGCCCCTTATATACCACAATCACGAGATCAGGCGCCCACTTCTTGAACTCGTTCACCCAATTTGACAAAGTGGACAGCGGCACAACCACGAGAAATGGACCGTGGTTGTGCTTGACTTCTGTCACATACGTGAGCAGCGAAATAGATTGGATCGTCTTACCCAATCCCATTTCATCAGCCAAAATACCGTTCAAATGATTGTCATACAAAGAAACCATCCATTGCAAGCCCCGCAGCTGATACTCCTTTAGGTCACCACCAACCAGCATGAGAGGCTGTCGTGGTAGCTCGCCCTTCGACGCGATTTCCAAATAATTCAGATCATCGTCCTGCTCATCAGCATTTGTATTCTTGACGCCTACGTGATGCGCATCGTAATGCGCCGTGTATTCATCGACAACGTGATGCTTTCGTTTGTGCTGACGCACCAACTGGCGAATGCTGTCCAAATAACTATTGGTCTGGCTCAGCAGATACGTCAGACGCTCGTTCTTTGCCTCAGCCACCAGCTTACCATAAGCTTCCATGTCATTAGCTTTCAATGCCTTCAGACGTAATTTTTCTTGACGATCTTCCTCACGCTCGGCCTTGGATGCACGCTGGTCGATGAAAGCCTTGACAGCTTTGGCAGACTTGCTTGCCAATGCCTTCACATTCTTGTGGTAAACAAAGAACTCGCGCGAGTGATTGAGTATAGCCTTCAAATACATTTGACGGTCCGCACGCCGCTTTTTCTCCATTGCTACGGATTTCTTGCGCTTCTCACGCTCATCACTTTGCAGTTCCACACGTGATACAGGGCGACGGCGTCGGAACGATTTACGGTCAACTGCAGATGGCTCTCCTAGCACTGCCAACCGTGTCGTATAGGCCTTGGCTACATGTTGACGCAATTTTTGCTGCAACAATACGCATCGCAAATCCCTTAGTGTACGTCGCTCATTCTCATCTAAATCACCAGTAAAAGTCTCCATTTTTTCTAAACTCGACACCAAAAATTGCTGTAACGTGTGCATGAATCGTATCTTGAGAGCAACGTCATTCATTCCTAAATATGGCGAGCAGACATTTGATGGTCCAAAGGCTAAACTTCCCTTTTTTTCAATATTAATGAGATCTCCATCTAAGTAATTAGGACCAACATAAAGTAAATGCCGTGCAGCTCGTGTCCATTTAGGGGTCATGAGTTCTAGTACAGGAGGATCCTTTGTCACGGGTAAATGCTGTTCATGAGTGTCAATGACGGTATTTCTTGAATCCATGGACTGTATCTTGAGCTTTGAAATAGGAGGCGATAAATGATGTTGCTGCTGTTTGTTGCTGCTGTTGTTGCTGTTGCTGCTGCTGTTGTTTATCTTGAGCACTTGTAGCCGTATCCATGGAATGACACAATGCTTTATAAGCTCGTATCTGATTATGTAAATATTCAAGTTGTTTCTCGGAAAAGAGTCTTGTCTTTTGCTGCATAAACGGATTAACACTTACATCCAAAGAAACAGAAGAAGCAGGAGCAGGAGGTGGTGGTGATGGTGGTGGAAGTAAAGGTGATGTGGAGGTGAAGGAAGAAGTCGGAGTCGATATCTGATTCATCACGGAGTGAGAGTGTTGGTCTACCATTAAAGTCATTGTTCTGGTTGTTTCAGTTGAATGACCTTGTGGCTGTTGTTGTTGTTGTTTTTGCTGTTGATATTGACGTAATAATGTGACAATTTGATGATATTTAGGATGATTCTTTTGACCAGAACGTTGCATACGTAAAGCAATATTCATTAATTTCTTGACATCATCAAGTGTTAATGACATAGGATGATGTGATGATGATGATGATGATATTGGAGCTGATGCTGCTGATACAGGTGGGGTCATCCTACTTTACTACTACTTTTTTTGGGATTAAATACCTTTGGACGGTGTTATTGGAAGAGAGAATTTAACCTCGGATGACCTATATTTATGTACCATAGAAACACTATTTTGTATATCCTTTTGACAAAATGTGAGTATACTAATGAATTATCTTCACGTGTTTTAAGAGTCTACGAGAATGACGCTCGATCAAACACATAAAGTGGCAGTGACTTGGTCATGAGTCGAAAATACGCCAATTGCGAGTCCGTGGGTTTATCTAATAATAATAAACAATGCACAACATTGATGATTAAATATTGAAAAGAAGTTAACAAGAATAATAAATAGATAGCCAGGGAACGAACGTACCGTGGAGAAAATTGACTTGATTGTAGTATGATATGATAGCACCAAGCTCTTCCGATGAGTACGTACGCATTGTAGAACGAATCTTGCGATAATCCACCTGCTTCTTGAAATGAACTTTTGTGGGAAAGTTTTCCGTCACGGCAGCGATGAAAAGACCGTTTTTTAACTTGCAAGACTCGTCGTAGCCGTTCGTACGAATGTCTTTCAAAGCAGCAATCACTGAAATATCATCGGCTTTCACGTCCTTGCCTTCATAGCCAAAGACCGTTGGCTGAAACCATGTGTTGTAATCGTCAATGGCAATTAACACGGGAAACTCCGTAACCTGCCTCAGCTCCTCTTTCAAATCGCATACAGCTTGACACGCCAGCTCTTCGTCACGTATACCGCCAACAACCACGTCGCGCAGTGTCAGAGATGCATCCTTATAGTCTGCGGCCTCCTTTGGCTTCGACTCATACTTGTCCGTAGGGTAGTAACGATGGGTATACTCTCCGCGCAGCGGGATGGAGCGCAGCTGCTCACCGTGACAGTGCAGAAACTTTTTCAGCAGGTCTACGCCGTATACATCAATATCGAACTTTCCGTCTTGGTATTGCGATTGCATTACGTATGGAGCCTCATGACACCACGAACGCGGGTTGGGAATGTAAAGCACTACCCAATTACTTTCGCGTGCAAATTGCACAATCTGGTGCAATGCAAAGCTCTTACCAGTGCCCCGTTCACCATCAATCAAAAATGCACCAATCGATTCGCTCTTGGCCGTCGACCAATCTACAGATATCATTTTATCAGTCTATGATCAGCAAACAGCAAGAGATCACTCGTTTAATAGCTGACATTACCCTTCATCAGTTTAATAATCTCTAGCGTCCGGTCACGCAACATTATATGGCGATGACCCACAAGTTCAAAGGTTTCGACCATACGGCGGCCAACGCCTTCGGGAAAAAGCTCATCCTGTTGCTCTTTAGCAAATGCAAAAAACTTGAGACGGTGAGCTACAGTCGCCTGATACAATACACAATACAATATATGGATCAATCTCTCTTTCTCTTTGTATTCCTTCAGCTTCACTCCATTCATTGGCTATTGTGTGTTGTATACCTGTGAGATCGGCACACCCGCGAGGTTGCCCAAGTCCTCATGTGCAATTTCTCCATCCTCCCTTGTATCCGATACAGCAGCAGTAGCAACAGGAGGAACTTCAGTCGATAATGCACGTAGCACTACAGTCTGCATACGTTGCATGGACAGGCGTTTGTTTAACACACGCATCGCCATCATAGTGCGCTGACACTGGATGGGCAGTTCAAATGGTGATACGCGTGTGGCTGACAATGCTTACAGTATATTTTATCATAATGAACCAATCCCCATTTGATAAAGAATTAGTCGACGTTTTGTAAAAAAGAAGTAGCTGCAATAAAGTGTCGTTTTAACCACCACTTGACCTGTTTTTAGACAACAGCTAGCTCTAAAATGCTGGTACGCATTACCATTTCTCTGTTTTTTTAGGACTAAATCATTACTTATGTTGACTATAAAATACCGATACATACATATATACCCTATTTGTTGCGGTCACTTTACGACAACACTAAATAATACATGACCCTGCTCTAAAAATGTCATGCTTTCACAATAGCTTTTCATTGGCTCTGTACAATTCTATTTTCGTCGCTTATTCGCTGAAAAGATCGCAATAAAACAAGGTTCCCATCCCGCAATTTTCCAACTTTCGACTTAGTTCAGGCAGACTCGATTCTTTTTGCTCGGCGTTTATTATATTCATTCCATAGTGAAGGAAATTACAGCAAAAAGTAACCAGTCATGCTAAGCCGTTGTCTTGCTACCACTTTTTGCGTGAGTGAAACATCTGAAGTAACGGACTGTCAGTATACTACTACTTCTACTACTTCTACTTCTACTACTCTTCCATCAAGTGAGTATCATCATCAACAGCATCAACAACACCAACAGCAACAGTTAAGTAACAATAATAGTAATAATCATACGAAGAACATGTCGAGCAATCAACACCAAGTTTTATTAGCTGGAGAGTATGCAGAACGTCGTCTCTTATCACGTAAATCACCTTTAGCAGCATTTACATCTCAATTGGAAGAAAAGAAATCATTTACATTGTTAATCCAATCAAGAGAAGAATTTGAGCAACATCAGGGACAGAATGAAGAGCTACGACAGTTAGAAGAAGAAGAAGCAGACGAAAGAGGAGGAGAAGAAGGAGAAGGATTGAAGAAGAAGAAGAAGCAACTGGAATGGCCTGAGAAAGAAGGAATTGATGGGTCAATATTCTTAAGTATTGAACCAAAATGTATTCAAATTGGGCATGAAATTGGTAAAGGAGCATTCTCAGTTGTGTATGCTGGTAAATATCAAGGACAAGATGTGGCTGTAAAGTGTCAACCAAAAGATGCACAAGATAAAATTCCTGATTTTGTCATACGTGAAGTGCAAGTATTGCGACTACTGCGTCATTCGAGGCTATTAAAGTATATTGGAGCTGCAGATAACGTCCGTGCAAAGCAAGTTTGGATTTTGAGTGAATATCTAAACAACGGGGACGTTGACCTACTGCTAAAAGCTATACGCAGTGAAAAGAAGCGTCATGTTGGGTGGCATCGAATGGTGCATATTGCATTGGATGCAGCCCAGGGCATTGAATTTCTACAGATGAGACACATTGTTCACCGCGATATTAAATCATCCAATATTCTACTGGATGATCAGTACCGTGCCAAGCTTTGTGATTTCGGCTTTGCAGTCAAGATCAAGCCTGTCAAGGCAATAGCAAATGGTGCAGCCGAGCTTGAAGCAAGTAAACAGCGCTGCAAATCGTACTGCGGTACAGACGCCTACATGGCACCTGAAATGTTCTTGGACGAGGACTACGATCAAAGTGTGGACATTTTCAGCTTTGGTGTGGTGCTTATGGAAATGTTGTGTTGTCGTGTCGCTAATTCCGATGGGTTCTTGATGCGCCTTCCTCAATTTAAGTTTCAGGTGTCTCTGGCAGAGTTTCGTGCTGCTCTTCCATCCTCGTGCCCCTCAGCGCTTGCTGCCGTCGCCGAGCAGTGCGTGTCATTTGAGCCAAGCGAGCGCCCCAAAATTAAGATTATTGTGCAAACACTTGAAGATGTACTGAAGCACACCAGCAGCTCGCACCGCGACGTTGTGGAGCTCGTCCATTTTACGCCTGATGAGCGTGAGCCGCAAATTGATGCAGACGATGACGCTTGCCACGGTGAAAACGATGAGGATGGTTATGATGATGATGAGGGAGACGATGAAGAGGAAGATGACGACAAGGAAATTGAGGAAGACCAAAGTAGGTACAATTTGCAAGCACATGGTCGCCACAATAAGATGGGCATGGAGTCGGACGAAGAAGAGCGCAGTGTGCGCTCGCAAGTCGTGGACAACCCGTTTTTATACGATGGGAGTGTTGATAATGACGTGAAAGCACTGCGCTCATCTCCAGCTCCTTACCATGAAGGAGTGATTCTGAAGCGTGGTCGTCGCGGTAAGCGCTTTTGGGTTGAGAAATGGTTCATCGTCGACCACGACCAGCTTCGATACACAGACGTCCCGCCTCTTTGGCAACAACATCAGCAACAGAATCGGGAGTGGCGCTGCACGCTGCCGCCCATTTCATCGCTTTCGCTTCGCGGGTGTCGCATCTGGAAAACAATGGAGATGCCTGAACTACGGTTCAACGTGATTGATATCAACTGGAAGATCAAGCGCGAACTTCAAGCCGTGTCAAAGCGCGACCTTGAGTTGTGGATAGAACTTATTAGTCAGGCCATTGACTACGCTAATGACATCTATTCGCGTGAGCACAATATGCGAAATAATAGTACGACAGGAACAAGCGCGAATAGCAGTAACGCGAGCTACCCCAATCGCAACAAGGTCAGTGAAATGCAGCCGCAGAGCCAAGCGCCGTCGAAGCCACTGGACCAGAGGCCAAAAGAAAAGGCTGATGTTGTGGGCCCGCGGAACAATAAACGCCGAAGTAGTGCCACGAAATTTGACGAACCACCTGAGTTGCCTGAGTCGAAGGAGGACCGTGCAGATGAAGTGTATGTCTGGCTCAAGCAGATTGGCTTCCAGCGGTACACGCCAATGCTGAAAGCAAAGGGCTTTGATTCACTTGACTTTATTCGCGAGGTACGGTGTCGTATTGGTTCATACATCGTGTGTTGTTCTTGTTCCTCACGCGTCACTTATTGTACTTATATAGACAGGCATTGAGATGGAAGATTTAAATTTTGTGGGCATCAAGGAGCCCGTTGCCCGCAAATCGATTCGCTCTGCAGCTAGAGCACTGCGAGGTGATGATGATGATGATTGATATAGGGACAAGATAGTTTTGATTCTGGTGACATCATGCATGCGGCGTTTCTGTAAGGTTAATCATCGAGATTTTCTCTATAATATGTAAGTATGCTGCAAACGCCAAATACCCTCACGCTTCATACGTTTCGTCCATTATTATCGCTGTGTAAGCTCTACCAGTGAGATACCGACTTTTGTTGTGTACTCCTGGCTCTCGCCTGTGCAATAAACAACGACGAGCTTACCAAATATCAATGCGAACGAAACGAAACGAAAATGCAAGCGTCTGCATGTTAACCGGTCAACTAGCATTGCTGCCTACCGCATATAGAGAACCCTATATCGAATGCGCACTAGATGTCAAACCGTCCTCCACTCCCGTCAGCAAGTTGCGTAGAAAGGTTTCCGTCACGCGCGTATAGTTGATGATTTCTGAGCGGTTCATCTTGTCCAGCGGCATCTCCGAAAGTCCCGTCAGATGTTCTGCGTTCTTTTCCAAATTTTCCTGCAAGTATTCAAACAGATTCTTCTCCTTTCCGGCCGGTAGGTAGTAGCCAAAGACGTAAGTATACTTGAGTACTCGTCGACACTCAATCAGCTGTTCCGTAGCTGCATTTAAAAACTGCACATCGATCCATGACGAATCACCATGACTAGCCTGCAGCTCAATCATGCGACTCTCCGTGCCTTCACGCATTCGCTGTGCAAACTTACCAGCTTCCGAGTGATTCGCAAAACGCTGGTAATAGTGAAGATATCTGTCAAGCTCTGCCTTCGCTCGTGCTGCATCCGTGTCAGCACTCTCTGCGTCTGCGTCGTACCGATTGCATTTGTAAAAGCCGCCAGTACCCGTTCCATGCTTGTCCCATCCTTCTGTACAAATCCAGCAAAATTCGTAATTGCAACTGCGGCATGTCATGTGATTACATCCCTGATTCTTTTCAATGCGAACAGAGCACTTGGGGCACTTCTTCGTGTTGGCCAGAATCCAGTTGGCTGTTTCTGACTCGTTGCGACACTTCTCCTGCCAGGACGCGAGTTGCTCGCACGTTACGGGAGAGTGGGCTTCCTCGCCACAACGGAGGCAGAATACGCACCCACACGAACACGTCACAGACGACAATCCACCGGCGCTAGTGATCGCCTTGCTGCAGCCTGGTGATGGACACCACTTGACGCCTTTGTTAATGTCCACAAACGATCTCAGCAAATAGCGCGCGTATTTGCGATAATCGTCAGAATTTACAATCTTCTCAAAAATCAGTTCGCTCACCACCTGTTACAAACCAAAGCGTCAGATATCATAGACTGACATTCTTAGTATGATACATCACACAACACCTAGCTCACCTCCTTGCAGCCATGCGCAGGGCACGTTGTTGTCACACAAATTGGTCCTTCCTGGATCTTGAGTGACAAATATGGCTTCCAACAGTTGAGGCAATACACGTGTCCACAGCCCATGCCAAACACCTCATTGGCTGAATACTTGTCGCAACAGATATTGCAGTCCATCTAGGAACCATCATCAACAAGAACAACATTGTATTCGTCGGTAAGTGCAAACTAAAATGACATATCTCCTTCTTCTCTCTCTCTCTCTTCTTTCTACCTTGGTTCCTTCTGGTACAATTGGTGCTTGTTTATCCGCATACTCGACACCAGCCTCATGTTTCGTCCTTACTGGATCTGCATAATACCCTTCAAATAGTTTTTCCTTGTTCCATCCAAAATACCGCAACAAGACTGATGCCTTGGACAAGGAGATTTCCAAAACCTGTGCAATCTCATGAATAAGTGCGTGTTGTTCTTGTAAAAGTTCCTCCTCATCAATCACATGATATTCCTGTTGTTGTTGATTCCCAGCATTGCCTAAACCACTTGGACTTAATCGCTTCTTCTTCGAAGCAGAGCCATGATGCAATGGTGACATGGAATCAGCAGCATGCTGTTTCTTCACATTCGAATGTGAAAAGCCATGCAATCGTTCAAATATCTCGTCGTCTTCTTCTTCTTCTTCTGAGTATTGATAATCATCATCTTCTTCTTCATTTTCTACATCACTATAATGATATTCATCATCCGATAAGGGAGAGAGTGAAGGATCAATAGCGTTAAAGCTCATGTAAGAGAGAGAGAGAGATGGAGAAGAGAAGAGAGATGATGTCGCACACACAAATATCGTAATGACTACACGATAAAGAGAATACACGTGATATAAATGACCTTGGAGCTCTTAGAACGTCTAAATGGCGTTTTATCGTCAAAGAAAATGCAGAGAAGAGAATATGAGAGAAACGTTGAATGGGTTAGTGAGAATGAATGAATTTGGTAAATGGTAGAGGCTATAGTGAGAGAATGTAGAAGAAATAGAAGGCTAATTTAGTAATATATGAAACAAAACAGCAGAAAAAAAAACAAGATAATTTGATTTGTAAGAAATGTAAAGTTAACAGAAGAGCAAGTGATATCTTGTATAAGTAGCACAGCTATTTACTCGCACTTCCAGCACGACATTTATTTAGATAGAGAAACAGAAGATGTTTCCTGTCCAATTGACTTGAACTTAACGCAAATTGTGACTTGAGTCTTCTTCTTAAGTGCGGAAAGAGACAAAGAAAAAACAACAGCTCAAGTCTTAGCAGCCATTATGAGCAATAATATAATGAAATGCTGTGATGACTTCTCCACACGTTTTTACACCAATTCGCAAGCAAAACAGTAGCAGCTGCTGTAAATTAGAGCATTAACCATGAGCTATTAACACCATTGAGGCACAGCAATTGTCTTTAATAGACACACAAATTGTCTTGAATCGAATATAGCCAATAATAATCCGCATGTGCCTTTGCAGGCCCTTTTAGTTCGTTACTTGAAGCAACAAGAGTACCAGTGTTCGATGCTATTAAAATGTCGCGCGACAATGTCAACGCAAAAGTTGACCGTTATGATTCGAGCGGACCTTTTGATTGTTGTTGAAGAGCTTGAACAAGCTTTCAACACACAAAGTCTGATTGAATAAACCCCTTTGCAGTTGCTGCACTCACTCACCAGATCAAATCTGTCATGAGACTAAGAATGCCGCGGGTGGTAAGACGTGGAAAAGATTTTGCCAGCAGATCTCTATTGAAGAAGCCAAACACAGCCAGAAGAGACTTTGTAGTATGATTCGATCGATAGCTCATCTCGTTAGGAGAGACGACGTGTTTTTCCATAGACACAGGAAATGGCACCCTCTTGTTATAATTACGTATGTCGCCCCGCCATTTATTCTAGTCCTTGCGTTATACCATTTTAATAAGAAATGGGGCTATGAGACGAAATTGATCTCAATCGAGAGACTAAAAAATAAGAATGAGTGCAACAGCTGTTGAATGTGCACTTAAAATAGCAAATTGGGGCAATCAAGTGTTGTTTATTGACCCAAATCAATCTCTCTATGCTGTTCCACTCGTGTGTCACTTTAATTTTGACCAAAAGCGACACACAACGCCATCTTGACCAAAACGACTTCTACCAGCCCAGGACTCTTCTATTTTACTATGGGAAAACCCAAACACATTTTACATGCTGATGCGTCTACCCCGCGCAGTACTGGCTTTGAATCGATTGTCGCGGGTGTCGTCTCAGGTTGTGTCACGCGCTCGTGCACGTCGCCATTGGACGTGCTTAAGATTGTGATTCAAGTCAATGGCCCCGTGTCGACCTCAGCCGCCACTATGACAACCTCTGCTGCCTCGTTGCATGCTCCATCTACACTTATGGCTTCCCGCGCGATGGCGTCTCAGCCGTCAGCATCTTCTGCCATCGCCCGTACAGTGCGTGAGTTGTACGCGTTGGATGGCGTGCGTGCCTTTTGGCGTGGCAATAGCGCGGGTTGCTGTCGTCTTGGACCCTACGCAGGTCTTAAGTTCTATCTGTTCGACTCGTTTCAGACCCGCTTTGCCACCAGAGATGGCCGCGAGCTTGGTAACTTGCAGCGCACGCTGTGTGGTGCCGTTGCTGGACTAATTGCTACCATGGGCACGTATCCACTGGAAGTGGTGCGCACGCGCATGATCTCGCAAACAACTTCTCCAGCCGCTGCCAATAGCGAAATTCGCGGAGTTTTGCAAGGCGTCAAGCTTATTTTGGAGCACGAAGGGCTGCGCGGACTGTATCGCGGCGGGTGGTCGGGTGTCGCGGGTGCTATTCCGTTCGAAGGCGTGCAATTTGGATGTTACGAGTACATGAAGCTGACAGCCGTTCGTCACCAGTGGCCGGCCTACCGTTGGCCTGAGGGAAAGACGGAGATGGATGGACTCGATTATTTTGTGTGCGGCAGTATTGCCGGCGCAATCGCCCAGACGGTGGCCTACCCATTCGACACAGTAAAGAAGCGTCTGCAGTTGCAACAAGTACACTTGAACGTGTCTAAGACAGGCCCGTTATCAGCCGAAGGAGGCAGTGCATCGACGCTATACTACCGTGGTATGGTGGATTGCTTTCGTAAGGTTATTCGCGACGAAGGTCCATTGGCATTATACCGCGGTACAAGCGCCAATCTAGCTCGTATTGTGCCGTACGCCGCAGTCATGTTTTCGACATACGAAATGACAAAGAAGACGCTGCACGTCCTGAGCTCGAGCGGCTATGAGTAAATGAGTGAGTGTGAGAGAGAGGCCAAGGAGAGAGAGACAAGAATTGTCCATCTTGATATCTATTAGTCATAGTGTGTGATACCTTTGCATGTCAAAGGCCCAATGTGTGCTGCATGATACAGTTTTTTATGTCTAGGGAGAGGAAAAACAAATGTGACCTAATGAAGCAGTATTGTAATCATTTATCAGTTTTATAAGCAAGTAAACCTTCACAAGCTCTTCATCGCCCTTACTTCATTCTCCAATTGCTTTACAGCAAGTAGCAGTAGGTTCTATCACACAGCACTATAAAACCTCACTAGAAATGAGTAGTACTATAGGTCACTTCTTGACACTTATTGTGTATCTGATACTGAAAGCAAAGAAAATCATATCCATAACCTTGTTATGTGTTTGAATGATGCATGACGCGTCATCGTATTCGAAACGACTGTTTGGACATGTTTTTTCTATTGCTTTGCTGCAAAAAGATCGTCGTGTATTTTTAATTGTTTTTTAACCAATTAGTGATCACGACGTCAAGTATTTTGATCTCGGTTCATTTATGTAACTGTTATAAGAACAAAACGTTTGGATTTAACATGCTCTCTCAATAGTCATAAACTTCATCGTCGTTGTAATAAAAAGCTCTCATTTGTGTTTTTACTTGACATCCCCTCTATTGTAATCTTTTCTTAAGTAATCCTAACAGTGGAAAAAATGAGTACCTACTCAAAAATTAAGTGAAGGGCGGCTGTCTAAGTTTAGATCGCGACCTTTTGTCAGCCAATCAAACGTCATATAATCAAGTGCGTGCGGACGTACGTGGCCTTTCTAATCGCTTATCAACTCCCAGCAGCCCACTTCAGTAAGAAATTCACCATTAAAGACGTACATCAATTAGTCATGGGCAACACAAAAACAAAAGACCAATCGAGTTATGTTACTTCATTAGAACCACGAGCTCCAAATCGTCATGAGTTAGACACGACTTTACCAGCACCAGGTCCTACTAGTAACAACGTCGATTCATCGTCATCCTTTCGTATCCTTTCAGCTAATCAACGCGCTATTACGTTTGACGAGCGTGTGCATTTGCGCTCAGACTCGAGAAGTCATAGTGACCGTATACCGGCCGAAGGTAGCATCATGTCGGGATTTCAACCACTTGAACGTGCTGCTACCTTCGATTCCCGTTTATACCCGATGAAACAGCGTTTGACTGCGTCTGATGTGGCGTATCGTCGCTATTTTAATGTACACGAACGACGGGTGAAGATGAACGCTGACCGTAATTTGTTTCGTATTGCTGAGAGTGATAAAGAACGTCAAGAAGCGATTGTTATTGTAGATCCATATACTACAGGGATGACTCTGGCTCAGAAGATTCTTGATCGTGGTTATTTGTGTATCTGTGTGTACTCGGATACACTTGAAGTGACACAAGAGCGCATTGCACACGTGCCAAAGGAATTGGCTGCCAAGTTTCTGGCTATTATTTACCACGATGGGGACATCGCACGTGAGGACGAGAACAAGGCATTTACGGACACGGTAAACGCGATCCGTTGTGTCAAGAATGTGGACATTGTTAGCATTTTTGCGGGCGCTGAGACAGGCGTGTTACTGGCCGACAAACTTTCGGAGCACTTTCAGCTCACAACTAACGGTACAAAAGGCTCCGCCGCTCGACGCAATAAATACTTGATGGGTGAGAAGGTGCGTGCAGCAGGATTACGAGCTGTGGCCCAAGTGCAAGCAACTAAGTGGTCTCAGGTCGCGTCTTTTGTCAACGAGGAGCTATTGCCGATGTTAAAAGGCAAAGACTTTAAAGTCATTGTGAAGCCGGTGGATAGTGCAGGCAGTGACGATGTCATGCTGTGCCACTCAATGGACGAAGTTCGCACCGCTTTTGGTAATATTCAAGGCAAGATCAATCGGTTGGGACTTGAGAACCAGGCAACGCTGGTACAGGAGTATCTGGAAGGCACGGAGTACGTTGTGGATACAGTCAGCCGCAATGGCGTGACCAAGGTTGTAGCGCTATGGGAGTACGACAAGCGCGCAGTGAATGAGGCGCCATTTGTATACTACGGCGTCTTGCTGCGAGCAGCTCCTGATGGTTCTGTATTGGCAAATGTATCTGATTACATTCTGAAGGTGGTGGACGCACTGGAGATCGTGCATGGTCCCGCGCATGCAGAAGTGAAGGTAGTGAGAGGTGAACCGTGTCTTGTGGAGATTGGTGCTCGCTGCCACGGTGGATCTGGCTCGTATCTACCAATTGTGACTCCTTGTCTTGGTCATAACCACGTGGACGCTGCATTGGATTCATATCTGAACGCTGAAGCTTTTGAACGATTGCCTGACCGTCCGAAGGAGCTTCAAGCTTATGGTTGCGAAGCGATGCTCGTGTCATACGAGACTGGAAAGCTTGCAGGTTACCCGGGAAAGGATGAACTAGAAAGTCTGCCGTCTGTAGTGTCTACGGTATGGTATACCCATATTGGAGAAGAGCTGAAAGCTACAGTCGACATGTTTACGACGCCTGGCAGTATTATTATGGTTCACGAAGACGAAGAGCAGTTGATGCGCGATTACGCACGCATTCGTGAGTTGGAACACAAGGGTTTGTATGCACTAGAACCCGAAGAGGAAGCCAAATTTAAACCGGAGGTATCGCGCGGTACTGTTGTGGTCGTAGACCCCTTCTCGACGGGTGCTGTGCTGGCACACGAACTTATGACTAAAGGATACGAGTGCATTTGCGTGTACAGTTTTCCCCCTGAGATCGTCGAGAGCGCGGCAAATCTAGTGCCCGAAGGACTTACACTGGAGTTTGCAGCCACTGTTGCGTTCGAGGGTAACCTGGATCAGACGGTGGATGCCATTGCTAAGGCGGCAAAGAAGATAGCAGAACGACAAAGTAAGAATAATATTGGGATGAAAGCAAGTACTTCAGTGTGTGCGGTGTTTGCTGGATCGGAATTAGGCGTCAAGCTATCTGATGCTCTCACGGATGCTTTAGGGCTACAGGGTAATCCCATGGAGCATTCGAATGCACGACGTGATAAGTATCTTATGGGTGAAGCTCTACGTGCTGCCGGCATACGTACTCTAAAGCAGGCGAAGGCAAACGTTTGGGCTGAGGTAGAGGCCTTCATTAAGCAAGACCTGAAGCCAGAGCCTTTCCAAGTGGTGCTTAAGCCGTTAGAGAGCGCGGGCACTGAAGACGTAACGCTGTGTCTATCGTTGGAAGAAGCTAAGCAAGCGTTTGACGGTATCATAGGCAAGATCAATAGCCTTGGACTCCAGAATGACGCTGTTTTGGTGCAAGAGTACCTGGAAGGCGATGAGTACGTGGTTGATACGGTTAGCCGCAATGGCGAGCACAAGGTGACCGCCATCTGGAAGTACGACAAACGTCGCGTGAATGGCGCTGCATTTGTATACTTCGGACTGTCACTGGTGCCTGCCGATGGTATCGTCAATGAAATCATTGATTACCAGTTCCAAGTTCTCGGTGCGTACTAATTTCCCTTATGCATTTTTATTATAGGGCTATTCAGACTGACACTTTCGTGGCAAATGCTTTTTCAACAGACGCGATGGGTATATGCAATGGACCCGCACATGGAGAGGTCAAGTTTTGCCGTGGGTCTCCAGTATTAATAGAGGTTGGCTCTCGATGCCACGGGGGCGAGGGTGCATGGGTACCCATCGCTAACATTTGCGTGGGCTACAACCAAGTGACTGCGGCCGTTGACAGCATTTTGGATGGCGAGGCCTTTGCAAAGCTCCCTGATCGACCTAAGCTGCTTGCATATGGTTGTAAGGCCATGCTAGTGTCGTACAAGAATGGCGTCTTGAAGAGTTTGCCGGGCATCACGATGATTGAAAAAATGCCAGCTTTTCTTAGAAAGGAGATTTTTGTCGCACCAGGTGATACTGTACGTCAGACAGTGGACATGTTCACAACACCAGGTAGCATAATGCTTACCCACAAGGACCTTGACGTGCTCGAGAGTAATCTTGCTCGTATTCGCGAACTTGAGGTCGACGGATTATTCGAGCTGGAGTAAGACTGGAAAAAGAATGAGAGTTACGTTGCAAGATGCATGCGTAGGAATGAGCTGGTCCAACCAATTTTGTGGTCAGTGCTGGTATGTGCATCTTAGTCATTCGTATGATCGATCTAATTGACTCCTTAGTTTATTTGTTTGCGTTTCATATGTGGACTTGGACTTGAGACAGTCGTCCATCTTGTAGATTTGACCCAAACGTGCACCGCTTGTAGTACCCAAAAGCACTTGATTGGCAATAGTATTCAGCTGCTTCTTATTATGACTGTGTTATCATCGCTCGTTGTTGTTTCTGATATACGTAATGACCGTTGTCGCTCTAGAACCAGTAAAAAGTAGCTAGTAACGGTGCGTGCAACGTTTATTGAGTCGCAATGTCTGAAAGCCGTGTTACTCGTAATTGGTAGCGTGTTGTGGCTCTAGCTACTGCAGAGGCAATAGAAACCATTGCAGCATCTACAGCCGCGATTCTATATGAATGTTGCAGCACGCAGAAGACTGGATGCATTGTGGTGAAGACAACATCGAGAGATTGCAATCAGTGGTATCAAAAGCTGCATCATAAGGAGACACCAAGAGCTCGTGTGCGCAAGTACATTAGCAACGTTAGCTTGAAGAAACAAATCAAACGTTTCGTATTGATCACAACGTCCGTAAATGATTGATTACCTGAACCAAGAAGCTTCTTGATCAGACAGCATTTCATTCTACTTTGCATTATAAATCGATTGTACTGAAGGGTATGTAGCCATTTCTAAATCCACAAGGTCTTTTTTGTACCCAATTGCTACAATATCTATCTGTGATCATTGCTAGCACCAGCGTATTTCTATTTTGATCGCAAACATGAGCAACAAAACGACCAAGCCACGATTTCATGCCCGACGAGCGCTACTCTGTCTTTACAACTACATAACGTCTCAGTGTCTTTCTTTATGGTATCTACAAACTACTTGTCACGTTTCGCTCTCTCTCGTGATATAATTCTGATTGTAAACTTCGATATATTGATTAAGATATCGTCCTGTATTCCTAACGTTAGTCTTTTCTTCGATGTAATGGCTTAATTAGCTGGGGAACGTACATTCTGGGTCTTCTATGGCTATTGCTACATCCTGCAATCACTATTACAACAGGTTTTCACTCCTTGAAGTCTTAATAGCAATTGTTAAACCAGTTAAAACACGTTATGCATTACAATGATACTGTAGGCGAGTTAAAGTGCCGAGGGACGTATATGTCCGAGAATGCACTACTGATCGATCTCATGGAGGCACAATTGAGTCACGAAGAGGCTCATTTAGCTCACGATTTTCATCAGAAGCTGCTCGAGCTGCCAGGGCTAAAACGTACTAAGGGTTGTAGAGACAATTGCACGGCTGTTGTGGATTGGATTGACGCGCAGCTGCGTGGTCTGGACCGGGTTATAGCTTATCGTCAAGTGTTTCAGACAGACGAAGATACTGCTTTACGTACAAACGTGTATGGCATTTTGCGGGCGTCGCCATTGGCTGATGGCAAGGTGCGAGATATTACTGTGGCTGTTGCGTTTCTTGTCAATTGGTAAACGATCTGATGATTTAGGAGGCAATTGTCTTGGTGACACACTATCAAAATGTGGGTGCTACTAGCGGTGACTACTCTGGGTTGTCGATAGGGCTGGCGTTGCTGAAGTGTCTGGCCAGAGCTCAGTGGCTAGCTAAAGATGTTATTCTTTTGGTTGCTGACGGTGAGGCAAACGGAGGTTCTTACATATTGAGGTGGAAGTACTGACTGTAAAAATGCTGTTGGGATGTAGATGGTGCGCTAGATGGAAGTGATGGATATGCTCCCGGGACTGAAGCATGGTTGCAAGCGTACCATTTGGATCCTGTCCAAAGTGGCATGCAAGATGGGTTACCTATGCGCGCTGGTGTCATTCGCGCTGCAGTCAATCTGGAATCAATGTTTCACTCGCATCAAGTGGGAGCTGTCGGGATTTATGCAGCTGGTATGAACGGCCAGCTTCCAAATCTGGATCTTGTTAACACAGCAGTACGCGCATTTCGCCAACACAAAATTCCTACAATTTTGGACCGTGCTGACGCCCAACAAATCATTGAGCACAAACCTGAGAGCTACATTACATCTATGTTCAATATCATGATGAATTTAAGCGAGAAGTACGTTCCGGTGGAATTGAAGCAAGGCGCACTGAACTATTTGATGAACCTCAAGGGTATGATGCGTTTCATGACAACGTTAGCGTCTGGCCCTTCAGGTCCTCACGCCAACTTCATTAGCTACAACATCGACAGTATCACACTTTCGCTAGTAAAGAGACCGAGTTCAGGTGACCGGCAGCTTCCTACCCGCGAGGTACTCAGGTCAATCGAGATGGTGATTCGTGCACTCAGCAATCTGGAGGAAAAACTTCACCAATCGTTTTATCTCTACGTTCTCCCAAGCACGACGACTTTTGTATCGGTGGGTGAATATTTCTACGCAGTGGCTTTAGCAATCTCGCCTGCGATCGCGCATCTGCTCTATTTGGCGAACAAAACAACCGGAATGCGCGTTGCGTTCGCGCTGGCTGTGTTTTTCGTGATCGAAATGCTATGCGTACTCCTTCTGGTTGGGGTGTGCAAAATCTTTGCCACACCCGCAGCATCCCTGCAAACATTCAGTCCAAGCGACGTGTCTGCTGCAAGATGGTTTGGCCTTGCAATTTTGATTTCAGTCGTACAAGCTTTGGTGATTGTAATTGTGCTTCCTGCATTGCATGCTGTGACGGGCTTCTCGGGTTGCACGGAAGTGTATGCTTGGAGAAAGCAAGTCGCGATGTACGAAGCTGACCAGCAATCGAACCTGTCACGTAAATCTGCGTTAACTACCATGGATGCTATGCGAGAGTCCGGGAACAATATTCCAAAGCTGGATGAGGGCTGGTGCGCCATCAAGTTCGTTACGATGGTGGTGCTTGTGTACGTTGTGTTGATTGATGTCTTAACGCAAAAACGGTCTTGCTGCTGGATGTATGTTTTGTGGGCATATCTAATTTTGCTCGGTCTTAGGTATTCGCATTGCATTTTGGGCATTCTAAATTATCCGATGGCTTTGTTTGGTGCAATTCCCATGACCCTCTTTGCCAGTGTCGCTCCTGTCACCACTGCAACACAAATTCGGAATGCTTGGAGCTGTTTGTGGCTCTTTGTATCTTCTCCACTCGTTCTCATTGTCATGTTGAACTGGAGTCGCCTAGGTATGTGCTGGTTTGCTAACCTGACGTTGGTGCGAATGCTAATCGTCACTTCTCTTTTTTAATGTAACAGATGTGATAGCTGGGTTGTCATATGCCGTTGACAGTTTTGTGCACCGTATGAATGTGTTGGCATTGCCGTATGTTTGCTGTATCTACGTATCCGTCCACACTTTATCGCTAGCAGTTTGGGCCTATCCTGCCCAGCAGCACACATCAACGTTGGAGAAAAAGGCGAAACAAGAATAAAGGGGGAACAATGAACAGAACGAGCTTCCCTTCTAGGTCCAAGTACATAGGAAAACAAACTTGTTTGAAAGTGATGAATACCTTTGACGACTCAACGTCAGTGCAACAACGCTGTCACGATAATGTGGACCGCTTTGTCAGAGATGAGGACTCCAAGAATGACGGCTAGAGACCGTATGGTTTGTTTAGGACAACGAAGGGCACACAAGAGCAGGAAGAGATACAATCGCAACGGAAAGATACGTAATAGTAGGTTTGACAGCTTCTTGGACGCCATGTAACAGCATGGCTTTCGAAGCTGATATAGCAACAGAGGCTTTTGAAGCTGCTTTGAGCTTTTACAAGATCAGTCTCTTGTATGTTGTTGGAGCAGTCAAAGGACGCCAAGCTGCAATACGGGAATACATTGCGCTTTTTGGACCATACGTTTGGATCATTCGTTAGTTATATGCATGACGACATTGAGTGAGCTACATTTTGTGGATCGTTTAGATGTCCATTATGTAGAACTTGTAGTGTCTCATTAAATTGTCCGATAGAAACACGGCTACTCTTTTATACTGTCACAAACTGTGTGGACGCCAAGTAAATGCATCAGCACTCGTGCCTACAAC